ACCGCGCTTGTTTGACCACCGCCACCACCTAATACTTGCATTTAGGGTGACCATTTCAAAATCATTTTGATTCTAATGACTTGTCCAAATAGTGAAATACTAATAAATGTTTGAAGTCTATGGTTTCAGTTTTCTCTAAGTTGTAAATTGTAAATTTATCCATTTTCAGTTCTTCGTACAACACTTGGCATAGATTAGTTTCCAGGGCATGATTTACTTGTACTAGTTTTGCATTTATGGTACTTCAATTATATGAACTTGTCCATTAAACATAGGGAGTGTTTGTGCATCACACAGTGGTGTTGGTGGGGGGAGTTGTACAGTGGAATGGTGAAAGTGGTGGTTGGTTATGGTGACAACTTGCTCCTTCTCTTTCTCTCTCTTTACTTTTTTTCCCCTTAATTAGTTCCGTGAGGTGCATGAAAATGATATAGCTTGATTATTATTTTCCTTTACTCCACAATCTTGTTGAGAAAACTCAGAAAAGTGCTGCATTCTATTATTATTTTATTATTTTATATTTTCTCTTCTTTTGTCACTAATAGGCACTATTCCTAATATCTTCCTCACATTTTGATTAGTAATCTGTATTTTCTAGTTTTATTCCTATCATCCACCTCGATATCCTATCTCAGTTACATGGATGCATTGTTCTTGTTCATTTTTTGGCTATTAGAAAAGTAGGATTGATTTAGACAAGGGTCGTAAAAAGTTGAAAGTTCATGGTTTTGAATATTCAAAAGGAGGTGAAGCGTCGCTATTATTTGGCTATCTTGTTTGGGTTTTAGTGGTGGGGGAGAAAGTTCAGTGGCAAGGAAACAATTCCTTGCTGATGACTATTGCAATGAGGCATTTAGATGTCATTTTCTCTTTTCCTGGTTGTCTAAAGAATGAGTAGATATTACGTGCGTTTTGCACCTTACATAATTAGTATATTTATTTAATGATAATGTATCATTCCAAAAAATGTTGACCCACCCGCTTATAAAATTATTGATAACGAGATAATATATTATATATGATTGAATAAGTATACTAATGACTGGTGTGCTCAACTTACCAATATTTATTTTCAAAGCAAGGCGGCTCAACTGGCATTGGGGCAATGAGTAAGGCCCCACTTGAGAAAGACTCTTGAGCTAAATAACCTTATAAAGTATTGGTAAGTTGAGCACACCAAGAGGATTTTATTGCGGAGAACACAAAAGACATTGTATTTTGTGTCTTGTAAAGTATTGGTAAGTTCACAAACATATTGGTAAATTCAATCCAAGAGGATTTTGTTGAGCTAAATAACCTTATAAACACTTGAGAAAGACTCTTGATCTAAATAATTGGTAAGTTCAATCCAAGAGGATTTTACTGTCGAGAATACAAAAGACACTGTATTTTGTGTCTAGTCCCTCTGGGGTACCAAAACTCCACCTAACATCACGACTAAGTTTTTCAGAAGAAACGTCACTATCAAAACCACTATCAAAACCACGTTCTCCAACACATGAGATTTTTCAATTTTGCTATAAAATAGAAATTAAATGACCAACCTAATGAATCTAAACAAATATAACAATTATATACATAAAAAGTACAACATAAAATATATATATATATATATATATATATATATATATATAACAAATTAAAAAGTAATACAAAAATAAATCATACAACTTTGTGGAGAATCGATTGCCTTCTTAATATTACTTCTTTGTTTTATCCTTCCTTCATTGCTTATAACATATAGCACTCGATATGACTCACTATAGCTCTCGGCTAGCATAAAATTTTCATTAACAAAAATCATTTTGACAAAGACTTAATAGACACAATATAACACATTCATATATTACTTCACAAACTTAGTTCCAACTTCCACATAGTTTAAATCATGTACCTCCATTTAATTTTTGTACCAGGCTACCAGCTTTTGTTAAAGTTGTCTTCTTTGCTTTTGGAAAATGTACATTAATAAAGACTTCTTGCTTCAGGCTTTGAAACTTTTTTTTTTTTTTTTTTTGGTTCTATACAAACTTTTTTCAGCTCTATATAAAATAAGTTGCAACCATGGGATGAAGTCATTGGTTAAATAAAAGTTGCTATCGTGCTTCAGAGTCCAAACCCAGGTTCATGGGTTAAGTAAAATTTATTACAAATTACTAATAATAATAGCTACAATGAGCTTGTTGTGGTCCAGTGGGTTAAATTCATGGCTTGTGAAATTGGTACGTCTTGGGTTTGAGTCGTATTAGTTTCATTTTCCTTTTCATTAAATAGAACCTCCCCGTTAAGTTGGTGTTTAACTCAAATTCGTTGCGAACAAGATGGTTGGACGAATCATGTTATACACATCTTTTTACAGTATAATTCGATAGGTTTTTAAAGATTTTATTAAAATTTTTAAGGATTATATTAGGCAAATAATGACCCATTACTAATTTTTAAGTATACTAGCTGAGTTCAGTTTTCGGCCATTTGATAACTTAATTAGAGCTTGAGTTTCATGAAAGAATTTCTGTTCATTGAATCATTCATTAATTACGGTTTTTTTTTTTTTCTTTTTTTCTTTTTTTTTTTTTAAACCACATTAATTATGGTTCAATTACGGTTCTTTTATTATTTATGGCACAACACATATTCTGTGTCCGAGCTGACATAAATGGTGAATCTAGGATTAAGTATTAGTATTATTTTTAATAATAATAGACCAATAATGTTTTTTTTTTTTTCGTAAAAGACCAATAATGTTATACCAGTTTAAAAGCACAAGGTTAAGAGGAAGAAAAAAAATGCACCAATAATCACGTTTTTTAATTGTAGTAGTTAAAAATAAAAAATAAAAAAAAAGGAAGTTCTTGCTAATATTGTGAAGAAGTTGTGCTCTTCTGCGGCTCTCTCCTTCAAGAGATTCAATTGGTGAGTGGACAAAAATGTTAAAAAATAAAACCTGCAATCTCAAAAAAAAAAAAAAAAAATTAAGAGGGAGGCTTAAGAAATATTGTTACAAGTCAGGAAGGTTGTATGCAATTCACAATTTTTTTTTTTTTTTTTTTATTTAAAAAACTTACATTAAAATTCTGGTTTAAAAATTTAAGAAAACTACTTCGATTTTGATAGTAGGGAGTATTATTTGGATGAATTTAGTGGTCATTACATTCTATGCATAACAATCATAAGCTTCGGATAATAATTTCTCAGAGATTGTGTTATCCAAAACTTGTGTGGTTGTTTTTTAAAGATTGTGTTATCCAAAGCTTATGTTTATATATATATAAATATATCCTTTCCTGTCGGTGAAAAAATAATCTTCCACTTCCTATAAACTCATTTATTTATACCCATTCAAATAATACTGATTTTCAAAACATTTTCTATATTTACAAATCTTTTTATGGTATCTACAATCTCCATCCAATAATGCAAACAACAAAAACAAAACAAACTAAGGACCCTTTTTTACTTTACTTTAGGTCACATCACCCGTGATACATGCATACAAGGTGTATTCAAAGTTTCAAACCATCTACAATGATTTATTTAAATTTTAAACTTTGGCTTGAGCTCAAGGGAGATCCAAGAATTGTATACTTGTAATATTTCTTCATTTTTTGGGGTTGGACTAAAATTGCCGTATGTTTTATTTATTTATTTAGTGTGGGCTCAAGTCCATTTGAACCGACCCTTAAATCTGTCATTACTTGAGCTCATCTAAAACAGAATATATTTATACTTTGCCTTGGAGCTTATCTAAAGAAAATTAACATTTTTAAAAAGAAAAATAATATTTATACCTTACCACATGTAAAGTTTAAATATTAATAACGAGATCAATCTGCACCCGAAGACCAAAACGTATGAGCAAGAGGATAAGGATCCGACATATTGGGTCCAACTGCTTTAGTAAACTTACTTTCAATAAAATTACTTTACTTTTGTGGCTTTTATAAAGCTACTTAACCTTTAGTTCTAATCAATCAATATTTAATTTTTATATAGTACTGGACCATTAATTCTAATCAATCAATATTTAATTCGAAAGCAAAAATTGAATAAAATTGATATAACACTGACCCATTTATTTACAGCTAGTGATAGAAAGAAAATTGCAGATTTAATCCAATTTCGTTTGAACTAGAAAGAGAATTGCAGATTTAATCCAATAGGAAGCTTGATTAAGCTGGTTGCTGCTTTATGGCTCTTATAGCTTTTATAAAGCTACTTTACCTTAATGAATACTTTACTTTTGTGACTCACGATACAGATGTTAGGTCCTAATAATTTCTCAAACTTCTTCAATGAATACTGTTTTTAATTATTATTATTTTAAAAAACTGATTCTTTCACATTTTGGATGTGTCATGTGTTGAAGAAACAACCCCCACACAATTGTCGATTTGGGCCACTATTTTTCCGTCTAAAGCGTAAATAGGTTGGTCAACAAACAAAATTTGAATTATTCATATATATATATATATATATATATAACAAGTAGATACGAAGACCAAACAAATCTAAAAACTTAATGTAATTTTTAACAAAGATTATAAACAAATTCAATGTACAATAAATTAAGATTTAAAATTATAGAACATAAAAAAAAAAAAAAAAAAAAAAAAAAAAAAAAACTAGAATTAGGGTTTAGGTTGTTCACATTAACCCAAATTCAATCCTAATTAAATTCAGCTTAGATATTTAAGTTCAAACCTAACACAAATTGTAGAAATATTTGTCTAAACTCGTGAAAATTCAGGTTGAGCTTAGGATAGATTTGGGTCAATCCGTCCAAATTGCACCCATATGCAAATGAAAGGAGGGTTAAACACGAAGATTTTTCGCTTTTAGTTTTGGGTACTAAAATGCAAATTTAATAAATAAATAAATAAATTTATAATATAATTACCAAGGGGCCTTGTAGCTACTCCCCCATTCTGGCCCCATAACCATTTAACCATGCTCATAATCATTCCAACAGGACATAATATTTTGTCATACCTACTCATGCCTATAGCCCTATGAGGCTTGAAACATTTTTTTTATTTTTATTTTTTAATTTATAAAAAACCTCTTATAAATGCACAAATTAGATAATTGCCTCAATGAACAATCCAAAGCAAATACAAAGTAATGGTAGGCTCCAACTTTGGAATAATGGTTTAATGACTCCACCATTGACTAATAGGTAGTGGTCTTCGTCTTCTTCCTTTTTCATTCTTCCAAAAGCACACCCACAGAGAACAATTATTTAATCGGTGATTGCCTCAATGATCAATCCAGCCTACTTAAATGACTAATAGATATTTGTCTTCTTTCTTTCTTTCCCTCCCATCTTCCAAAAACACAGAGAGAATGGCTATTCAATTGGTGCTGCAAATCGCAATATTGTTGTGGCTAACACTAACAGAATCATTAGCTGCATCACTAGCAAAGCCTGGTTGTTCAGACAAATGCGGAAATATTACCATTCCATACCCATTTGGTATTGGACCCAATTGTTTTGTTAATGTTGAGCCTGACTCGTATTACTCGTTTGAGATAATCTGCAACAAATCTTTCACCCCACCCAAACCATTCATCACTAGCAGTAGGATAAACCTTGAGGTGCTTGAAATCTCATTGACAGAAGGCACTGTTCGTGTCAACAACCCGTTGATCACTTCTAATTGTAGTAACAGGGTTAATAATCAAGCTGTGGACTTGACTGGTACTCCCTTTTCCTTCTCAGACACCAACAACCGATTCACGGCCATGGGTTGTGACAACCTCGCCTTAATCGACTGGGCAGGAATGGCCATAGGGTGCGTGTCCAACTGCAATTTTACTTCAAGAGATAAAAGCTGCTATGGCATCAACTGCTGCCAAACCACAATCCCTCCATCACTCCAGTATATCAATGCATCATTTAGAAGCATAGATTCAAACAATCTCAGGCCCAGAAATGAGTGCAAATATGCCTTTATGGTGGAGCAAGATTGGTTCACTAACCTGACCGACCCCTATGATGTGCAGAAAATGGAGGTGGTCCCTGCTGTGCTGAGTTGGCGTACATATGACATGTGCAAATCATTCGGATCATTATGCGGTACTAGAGCTTATCAAAAATGCCTCCTTGGGGTGTCTAATAGCTCACAAGTGTCTAATACCTCATTATGCGGCACTAATGCTTCCTGCAGTTCCAATACCAATCAAGGCTCAAGCTCTCTATGCCAATGTGACCGCGGCTATGAAGGGAACCCATATCTGCCTCATGGATGCCAAGGTAAAAGTTCTGCAATTAATTAGTAAATTTGCACCGCCAATTGTTAGTTTAGTTATACAATACTGGAATATATAACTTCATCACTTGATTACCAAGAGCAGCAAATACCTAGCCACTAGTCTGTATTAACTTTTAACACCATCTACACTCTTGGGGGCGGCTCAATATAATTTGAGACCTTAAGAGAAAATTATAAAAGTGACCTCTTAATATATTAATAATATTATTTTAATGAAACTGTTTGAGAGTAGGACAACACAAATCTAAGGAATAATATATATATTTTTTCACTATTGTATTATTTTTAAATTATTTAGATTAGGATAGAATTGTAAATTTTGATAGAAAGTGAAATGAAAATTTTAGAATTAATCAAATTCTTTAGCTACGAAGAGTATAATAATAAAATAAAATAAAGACATCTATAATATATTGTTAACCCGATATATATTATAAATAATAATAACGATAATAATATACAGTAAGAAAGTAGTAATTTTAGGGCCTTACAGGGAAATAAAATTTTTAAGAAGTCTAATAAAGCAAGAAAATTATAATTATAGGGGTCTTCTTATTGGCTCGACTATCTAATACTGCCAGGAAATAAAAATGTTTGGAAATAAAAATAATAATTTTAGGGTCTAACTGATAAAGGAAATAAAAATTTTAAGAAGTCTAAACTTTCAATCCAAATTGCAGATTTAATCCAAAAATTGAATAAAGTTTATATAACACTGACCCATTTATTTACAGCTAGTGATAGAAAGAAAATTGCAGATTTAATGCAAATTCGTTTGAACTAGAAAGAGAATTGCAGATTTAATCCAATAGGAAGCTTGATTAAGCTGGTTCCTTTATGTGTGAGTGATTTTGGTGGTTGTAAACTTTCAATCAAAATTTATTTACCGAAAAAAAAACAATTTAATCAAAATTTGAATATTATATAAGATTTGTTCTTTAAAAAAGATTTCATATTTATGATGTTTTCAATTCCAACATTTTATTTACTACGTTTTCAATTATGTGGGTTTGGTCAATGATTATGTTTAATGTTGTTTGTATTGGTATAATTAATTTGTTCTTAAATAAGTGACTGCTAACAAATTTTTCCAAAGATTTTAAAGGAGCTAATTTACCGAAAATATTATTTTGGTCCTCTAAAAAGGACGGTGAATTTATTGCACTTCTGGACGTAGAAGAACTTGACAACCTCTCTCAAGTTTATCCACAAGAAAGATCTGGTATTTTTACAATTTACCGTTATTATTAAGGTTAAAAGGGTATTTGTATTCAATAAGTACAATATTGACATTTAATAATTTTAAGGGATGACTCAAGGGGTAAGTTTACATTTTTAAAAATAGTCAAATGTTTTATTTTTTTTGCAATATTACCAATTTAAACTTCACCTATAAAAAGTAAACAATTACGTAAATGTGGATTCACTAAAGATAAATTTGATAATTTATTCACTACTAATATAATACAAAATAATAAAAATTATTCTATTAAAAAGTTAAATTATCAATAGGTCCGTGGTCTAGTAAAACCAGATTCTTACTTTCTAAAAGGATGTCAAAGGCATGCTTGATTTGTAATTCTGAAAATAGTTTTCAGATTTTCTAAAACTGAACCAAACAAAACTATTCTAAAAATTACAAACTAAGCAAATCATTACTAGTATATTCTAAAAAACGTACTTTTATTTTTAAATGAATAAAATATATAATTTATTGGTTGCTAAAAACCAAATCATTAAAATTTAAGTGTTAATGAGGATGGGGGTAGGTATTCAAAGTTTCAAACCATATACAATGATTGATTTAAATTTTAAACTTTGCCTTGAGCTCAAGGAGATAAAAGAATTGTCAATGAGATACTAGTAATACTTCTTCGTCTTTTGGGATTGGGCTAAAATTGTCGTAAAAATTTTTATTTTTCATTTTTTTGGTGTGGCCTCAAGCCTAACGGGGTCCATTTTTAAATCCGCCCTTGCTTGAGCTCATCTAAGGCCAAATATTTTGAAAAAAAATAAAAATTAATATTTATACTTTACCACGTGTAAAGTATAAATATTAATAACGAGATCAATCTTCACCCGAAGACCAAGACTGAGGAGTGAGGACCCGACGCATGAGCAAGAGGATAAGGATCCGACATATTGGGTCCGACTGCTTTCGCAAAAGTACTTTTAATAAAATTACTTTCCTTTTGTGGCTTTTATAAAGCTACTTTACCTAAATGAAAACTTTGGATGTTGTTAGGTCACAATAGAGAGGACTTGTGGGAGAAATTTTTATAGAGAAGTTAGGTCACAACGGAGATGTTAGGCCGCAATAATTTCTTAAATTTCTGCAATGAATATCGTTTTTCTATTATTATTTTTAAAAAATTATTCTTGCACAAATTTATTATAGTGAATTGTCATATCTAATTTTTTTAATTAATCCATCTATAAAACAAATAAGAAAATAAGTTTCTCCACTTATTTATACTGTACATAAATAACTAATCAAAAATATTAATAATTTATTAAAGTACATTCACACACCTTCCACATATTGCTTCTCACCTCTCTTTAAAGAAGAAGAGGCGATAGCATTCGACTAATGAATGGTCATTATACTTGGACGTCTTTTACGCACTGTCTTTTGCCTTTCAAACAATGAATACCACGCGAATTATTTGCACATCTTTAAATCCATTTTGGATGTGTCATGTGTTGAAGAAACAACCCCACACAATTGTCGTTTTGGGCCACCATGTTCCCCGTCTAAAGTGTAAATAGGTTGGTCAAAAAACAAATTTTGACTTATTCATATGTGTATACATATATATATACACATAACACGTAGATATGAAGACCAAACAAATCTAAAAACTTAATGCAATTTTTAAAAAGATTATAAACAAATTCAATATACAATAAATTAAGATTTAAAATTATAGAACATAAAAAAGAAAACTAGAATTAGGATTGAGGTTGTTCACATTAACCAAGTTCAATCCTAATTAAATTCAACTTATATATTTAAGTCTAAACCCAACCTGAATTGTAAAAATATTTGTCTAAATTCGTGAAAAATCAGGTTGAGCTAGATTTGGTCAATCCGTCCAAATTGCACCCATATGCAATGAAAGGATGGTTAGACACGGAGATTTTTCGCTTTTGGGTACTAAAATACAAATTCAATAAATAAATAAATTTATAATATAATTATAAAGGCCTTGCGGCTACTCTCCCATTCTCGCCCCCATAACCATTTAACCATGTTCATAATCATTCCAACAGGGTGGGGTGGAAGGATATACCCAACGGGACAAAATATTTTGCCATACCTACTTGTGCCTATAGCCCCATGAGTCTTGAAACATTTTTTTATTTATAAACATATTAGATAATTGCCGCAATGAAGGCAAATACAAAATAATGGTAGGCTCCAACTTTGAAATAATGGTTTAATGACTCCACCATTGAGTAATATTGAGTCAATGACTAATAGATAGTAGTCTTGTCTTCTTCCTTTTTCATTCTTCCAAAAGCACACCCACAGAGAATGATTATTTAATTGGTGATTACCTCAATGATCAATATTCCAGCCTACTTAAATGACTAATAGATAGTAGTCTTCTTCTTCTTCTTTCTTTCCCTCCAATCTTCCAAAAACAGAGAGAGAAAGGTTATTCAATTGGTGCTGCAAATCGCACTATTGTTATGGCTAACTCAAGTATCATCGGCATTAGCAGCATCACTAGCAAAGCCTGGTTGTCCAGACAAATGCGGAAATATTACCATTCCATGCCCATTGGGTATTGGAGCCAATTGTTTTGTTGCTAATGAGTCGCGTTACTCGTTTGAGATAATCTGCAACAAATCTTTCACCCCACCCAACCCATTCATCACTAGCATGAACCTTGAGGTGCTTGAAATCTCATTAACAGAAGGCATTGTTCACGTCAACAACCAGGTAATCACTTCTAATATATTGTGATAACAAGGGATGCCTACTCCTTTTTTCTTCTCAGACACCTACACCCGATTCACGGCCATGGGTTGTGACAACCTCGCCTTAATCCACGACTGGCGATCGGGAATGGCCATAGGGTGCGTGTCCAACTGCAATGTTACTTCAAGAGATAAAAGATGCTTTGGCATCAACTGCTGCCAAACCACAAACCCTCCATCACTAGACTTTATCAATGCATCTTTCAGAAGCATAGATTCAAACAATGATAATAAAGGGTGCAAACATGCCTTTATGGTGGACCAAGATTGGTTCACTAACCTGACCGATCCCTATGCCGTGCGGGAAATGAAGGTGCATGGTCCCTGTTGTGCTGCGTTGGGGTACATATGAGATGTGCCATTCATTCATTGGCTACAAGTCTAGTAGTTCATTATGCGGCACTAATGCTTTCTGTTTCAATCGAACTTACGGACGTTCTAGCCTATGCCAATGTCACCAAGGTTATGAAGGAAACCCGTATTTGCTTCATGGATGCCAAGGTAAAGTTCGTCACCAAGAACAGCAAACACCTAGCCACTTGTCTGTATTAAATTTTAGTATAAATTACACTGACCTCCCCTGAAATTTGAGAGAACCAACAGGCAATTCAAATGCAGCAGTCAGGAGCAGATACTCTGACTCTTCACGAGATGGTGAAGGTGATCATGAACGTGGAAGTGGAAATTATGTTGCTGATGATTCTGATGAATGTAGGGATTGTGATGATGAATGATGTTAGAGAGAGAAAGAAGTGGATGAGAGTAGATTTTAGAGAGGTAAAAATAGGTAAGGAGATGTTAGATTTTAGAACAAGTTGTACACAAATAGAAGTAGGTCGGGAAAATAGAACAAGTTGAAGGGAGAAATAGATTAATATTAATTTATTTAAATATAATAAATTTGTATGTCTATATATATATATATATATATATATATATATATATATTAAATTAATTCAATTTAATTAGCAAAAAAAACTATAACTTTTTTGGGTAAGGTCCATACAATTACTCCAGTATATGAGTGTATATATATATATATATATATATATATATATATATATATATATGCATTGATGTAGATTACATAGAATTGTAAGGTAATTAATGTCTTCTTGCATAATATAAGGGTTGTTTAGGTACTATATAAATATTTTTAACTATTTCTAATAGTCAAATGATAGAAGGGTGGTTGAGCGCACACACCAAACCTCAAAGGAAATCAAAGTAATAATTAATAAACTCCAGATGCTCTATATATATATATATATGCATTGATGTAGATTACATAGAATTGTAAGGTAATTAATGTCTTCTTGCATAATATAAGGGTAGTTTAGGTACTATATAAATATTTTTAACTATTTCTAATAGTCAAATGATAGAAGGGTGGTTGAGCGCACACACCAAACCTCAAAGGAAATCAAAGTAATAATTAATAAACTCCAGATGCTCTATTAGCATGTAATTTGACAAATTAAGCCATAGGAGATCAAGTGCAATTTATTCTACTAGCTCAACAAATTAATGTCTTCTTGCATAATAAAAGGGTAATTTAGCTATCATATAAATAATTTTTAACGATCCTAACAGCTAATTAATTGGTGAGAGGGATAGTTCAGCACACACACCAAGCCTTAAAGGAGGTCAAAGAAATAAACTCCAAATGCTCTATTAGCGTGTAATTCGACAAAATCACGTGGAATAAGTGTAATTTACCCTAATTTTAACAATATGTACACAAGTTATAATCTATTGTTACTTTTCTGTGTATGTCTCTACTACTATGTATGAAGTCATGTGCAGCTGCGTAGACAAATATGTTAATAACTTATTAATTTTTTGATTTTGTATGTCAGATATTGATGAATGTGCGAGGAGAGAGACCAATCGCTGTGAAAAGATCTGTGAGAATACGCCTGGAAGTTACAAGTGCCGTTGTCCACCTGGGTACTTATCTATTGGAGCTGGTCGATATAGTTGCTATAAAGTACCCAAGGTTATTGAACCCAAGCAAAACAGAAATGTGATCATTATTCTAGGTATGTCCTTTCCACCACAGCGTAAACACACACTCAGATAACAAAGCACATATGTTGAGGTATTGATTAGTGCTTAATCAGAATCATTACAATTGATCGATTTAGTTTGAGGCCATATAAAAAGGAACAAAATTTTGAACCAAACTGAAGTAAAAAAAAAAAAGCTAGAAATTTTAATCAGTCAATATGATTTTTTTAACACAAATAGGATTCAACTTTGCAAACCTTGAATCCCTTCTGACAGTACAACTACTATAGGAAACATGGTAGCAATTATGTAGCTCCGAAAAGTAACCAAATAGCCTAGAATCAAAATTGTGGACCAATAGCTTCAACTCAAAGTCAAGCTTAATTTAATATGGCTAATTTAATTCAGTAGAGTTGGTTCCTAATTTCTATCGACAATTTCAACCAACTAGTTCTACGCTCACAAAAAAACCTACCATGTAGCAAGGATATGGTCCCATTGACTCTAACCATACAACTGGCTAAATTTTATTTAAACACTAGAATACTGGGAAAGGACTTGTCTTTCTTATGGGAGTAGAAGGGATATGAACGAACGTAGGAAAAATTAGCAGATATACAAGTATTTTTTTCACTCAATCATAAAATTGTTAGGTTGAAAAGGTGATTCTTTCATATTGAGTTTTGCAGGTACTGGAATAGGTCTCGGAATACTATTTTTAATTGGTACATGGTGGATGATTAAACTGGTGAAAAGAAGAAGGAAAATTAAGCTCCAGCAAAAATTCTTTAAACGAAATGGGGGTTTGTTACTACAACAACAATTATCTTCAGGTGAAGGTAATGTTGATAAAACCAAACTCTTCTCTTCAAAGGAGTTGGAAAAAGCCACTGACTACTTTAATGAGAATCGAATACTAGGGCAAGGAGGCCATGGTACTGTTTACAAAGGCATGTTAATAGATGGTAAGATTGTAGCGGTTAAGAAGTCCAAAATAGTGGATAAAGACCAACTTGAACAATTTATTAATGAGGTGGTCATTTTATCACAAATTATCCATAGAAATATAGTCAAGCTACATGGATGTTGTTTGGAGACTGAAGTACCTTTGCTTGTTTATGAATTCATCCCTAATGGAACTCTTTTCCAGTATATCCATGACCAAAATGAAGAGTTCCCTTTATCCTGGGACATTCGTATTCGGATTGCTATAGAAGTTGCAGGAGCTCTTTCCTATCTACACTCAGCTGCCTCCATACCCATTTATCATCGAGACATCAAGTCCACAAACATATTGTTGGATGATAAATACAGAGCAAAAGTGTCCGACTTTGGGACTTCAAGATCACTTGCAGTTGATCAAACTCACTTGACCACAAAAGTACAAGGGACCTTTGGATACTTGGATCCTGAGTACTTCCAATCAAGTCAGTTTACAGAGAAAAGCGATGTTTATAGCTTTGGAGTAGTTCTTGTTGAGCTCTTAACAGGGCAAAAACCTATCTCATCAACCATATCTTTAGAATGTCGAAGTTTAGCAACATTTTTCCTATTGACAATGAAGGAGAATCGTCTGTTTGATATTCTTGATGCTCGAGTTGTGAAAGAAGGTGGGAAAGAAGAGATCATGCGAGTTGCTAATCTTGCAAAACGATGCTTGAACTTGAATGGGAGGAAAAGGCCAACAATGAAAGAAGTTGCAACAGAGTTGGAAGCGATTAGAATGCCACATGGAGCATCCAATATTCAACAAAACTATGAAGAGGTTGAATTTGCAGTAGTTGACGTCACTGGGCCTTCAGATGTTGGTTCAACTTCGACGAGTTTTTATCAAGATAGTAGTGTATCATCATCGTTAGATGTCCAATATCTATTATCAAAGTAAATATGGTGGTTAAGGTTTTGTTTTTTTTCCATATATTACATATCCTAGTTTGAATAATAGTGTATAAGCACCGGAAGATATTCCTACTTCTGGTGTTTAAGAAATTATGATCAGCAAGAAAATTTTAATGTACTCTATATTATTTACCATCTTGTGTAAGCTAATCATGATGAGAAATATGCTTGACATATGTTTCTTTGAAGTATTTATGGATATCATTTTATATCTAAAATTGAATTCTATACGATGCTTTTTTTATTGATTGAATATGATACGTCTCTTCTGTTGTTTTCTGGTGCTCTAGTTGAGAATTGTCCATGTATTCTTAATAAGAATTGATGCATTCTCTTATTGGAGATCCCTATATAGACCAATACAGTCGACATAATACAGATGCACCAAATTCTACTAGTTCATTATCAACCACCCAAAGAAGATGGTCCAAAGATATGCTCCATTTGGCTATATCTAAGAAAAATATATATATCATGATTATTAAGAATTCAACGAGATCTTCGCCCTCAAATCAGACAAACAAAGAAGGGAATCCCTTTGAGGTCTTCCGCTTTCATTTATCTATGTTTATTTTCCTATCAAATGATTATCTAGCTACTCCCTAGGCCCTTATATATCAGCAAGAGATAGGTGATACAAAAGAATAAGCTCAAAATCAACATTTATTCCAAGACAAACTCTCTTCCACGAGACTTTAGCCATAATGATCCTATGTCAACTCAATTTACAAAATTATGGAGAATTTAACAAGTCAACATCCTAAAAACTAAATCTTAAATTCCCATTGTTTGGGTCTGGCTTATAGATTAAAATCTTAGGGCAGTTGAAAAATACATGCAGATTCAGTTACAATTGGGATCCATACATCCATATTAATATATACACATAAATTTCTTCAAAAAGCATAATTTTTTATCTAAAGAGATGAAATATATACCGAAAAACAGTTATAAACATACAATTAATGGTTCCAAAGAGAAATTGATAAAATAAGTTGCTGATTTCTTACTGACCTTAAATTTAGAAAAGTGATACAAAATAGAGTTGTATTCACTGGAACAAAACTCAACAGTGAGGTAAAACTGAATGCAAAAGGGAGATGAGAGAACAGAGATAATTTTCACCAAAAAAAAAAATTTAGACCGTGTCTTCTTTTGAGAAATATTTTTTTGTGCTTGAGTACATTGGACGTATCCAACCATTTATTACCTTACCTCTAATACATTAACGGTCCAAATGCTCCCATTTACAAGGCGAGCAAGTAAAATTTTCTCCTTTCACAGGAGTCAGGCTATTCTTCTATGTAATGAGACAAACGTGTAAGCAATGTGGGAATCGGTCAAACAACACTTTATTACTATACCTATAAACTGACCAGATTCAGTTTACAATATTCGTCCCTGATTCGAATCTCTATCTGATTCAATAATCTGAGAAATAATTTATTAATAAATATTTGATTGTTATGGTCTGTTTTTAAAGAAAAAAAAAACGGAGTAATTTCAAAGGAGATTGGCAAACAAAGATTGAGAAAAATAAAAAAATAAAAATTAGATTTTTAATTTACTATTTGTTAAAGAGAGAGAGAGAGAGAAAGAGAAAAAAAATAGATCTTTAATTTACTATTAGTTGACGAAGAGAGAGATGAACGTACTGTTTGATAAAACTGAAAATTAAACTAAAAATTTCAAGTACTGAATTTTAAGCATTGAATATATTAATCTGTAAACTTATTTAATATTATATTAATTTTAAGAGCTGAATTCATTAAGATTCTTTGTTAAATGCAAAAGCTGAAATCTAAATGTTGTATATATTACATTTTGCTTGAATATCTTCTACATATAATATTATTATAAAAGATGTTATATTAAAACATAAACATATATATAAAATAATGAATTTCACCAAAGAAATATATTAATTTAACGATGGATATTCATGTCAAAACTGATCATAAAAATTTCAAAATCAACGTATAAAATGAATAACTTATGAAAATAAAATATTTATGAGAATGCGATTAGAATTCACGCATAAATCATTCGATTTTTATTTATATAGTAGATTTTTATCATAACAATGGTGCAAGAGTTTCATTACATGATTGTTGATTATAAAGTTTAGTGAACCATGCAGTGTTTATATATATATATATATTGATTTATTTATATTTTGTTGAATATTAAAATCACTTACTGTGATTTGTGTCATTCAAAATTTTGGCCTCAGGCCCGAAGACTAAAAGCATATTGTATATTATATTCGGTGATTGATTTGGATTCATTTAGCTAACAAGAATTCGGATCAAATGTCTATCAAATTAAATCTTACCAATTTAATTCGACATCTTTTCCATAAATGCATCTTGAAGGCCAAGATTATACGCTTAAATTTGAATGTTTCAAAAATGGTTATAACTTATCAAATTCTTCTCATATTTTTATAGAACAAATATATATATATATATATATATATGACCGATTATATCCAATGATTACTATATACGGTGTGAATAGCATTTCTTGTATCTAAGTGAACAAGAGATCACCACTATATATATATATATATATATATATATATATATATATATATATATATATATTGATAATTGTAAATTTATAACTAGACCGCCACCCATGAACAATGAGAGTCCAATCCAATTGAGGAATTAAAAGGGAGATAGGATTCAAGGAATTAATTAGTAAACTCGTAGAGAATATACAAATTAAGTGAACCTTGATACTCACAAAAAGACACTAATCTATATGATAATGGCTCCACTCAAGCTACATGGTAACATAGATTAGGGCAAAAGAAGTTACTACAAGTGGTCAGACCAAGTCACCCCATTAAAAATAAATAAATTGTTTTCCAAGACAAAGAATGGCAAGAAAATGCCAGAACATTGATGTCAATGACTCAATATCATCCATTCAACATTAATTTCTGATAAGCACTTTATCACAATTGACAATAAGGTAATGCTAAACATTATGTTAAAAATGGTCAAGAATGGATGAATGCCTCCAACTTTGGAATAACGATTTACTGACTTTGCCAAATGCCATCAACTAATGTCCAATAGATTGTAGTCTTCTAATTACTTATTTCCCTTCCATCTTCCCCAAAACTGTGTGTGTGTGAGAATGGTTATTCAATTGGTGCTGCAAATCACACTATTGTTGTGGCTAACACAAGCATCGTCAGCATTAGCAGCAACACTAGCACAGCCTGGTTGTCCAGACAGATGTGGAAATGTTATCATTCCTTTCCCTTTTGGTATCGGAGCCAATTGTTATTATGAAGAGCCATTTGAGATAAGCTGCGACAAATCTTTCAACCCACCCAAACCTTTCATCACTATGATCAACCTTGAGCTGCTTGAAATCTTGTTATAAGAAGGCATTGTCTGCATCAACAACCCTATAATGACTTCTGATTATGAAAACAGGACCAATAATCAAGCTGTGTCCTTGATTGGTGCTCATTTTTCCTTCTCAGACACCTATAACCGATTCACAACGTTGGGTTGTGACAACCTTGCCTTAATCAGCTGGCAAGGAATCATCATAGGGTGAGTTTCCAATTGCAATTTTACTTCAAGAGATAAAAGTTACTATGGCATCAACTGTTACCAAACCACAATCCCTCCAACAATCATGTTTATCAATGCATCTTTCAGAAGCATAGATTCAAACAATGATAATAAGAGTGCAAATATGCCTTGATGGTGGACGAAGAATGGTTCACTAACCTGACAGACCCCTATGCCGTGCAGGAAAGGTCCTTGCCGTACTGAATTGGTATGCATACGGGATGTGCCATTTATCCGTTGTGTATACATATGGGCCATCATTATGCGGCACGAAAGCTTCCTGCACTTCCCCTTCCAATAATAGCTCAGGTTATCCATGCCAGTGTGACCGAGGCTATGAAGGAAACCCATATCTGCCTAAAGGATGCCAAGGTAAAATTCTGCAATTAGTAAATTTGCACTGCAAATTTTCAATTTAGTTATGCAATACCAGAGCATATCTTTATCAATTGATTACCAAGAAAAACAAACACCTAGCCACTTGTCTTTATCACTCTTCTGTGTTTAGCACAAAGCATATGCCTCAACTACTATGTGTGTAGTCCTGTGGGCTGTGCCGGTGCGTAGACAAACATTTTAATACCATATTTTGTTTGATATTGCATGCCAGAGATCGATGAATGTGCGATGAAAGAGACCAATCGCTCTGAGATGAACTGTTCGAATACGCCAGGAAGTCACGAGTGCTATTGTCCACCAGAGTACTTAAAAGTTGGAGATTATTCTTGCTATAAACTCAGGGGTAATGCAGGCAATAGAAATGAGATCATCATTATAGGTATGGTAAACTGAATTCATTTGATTTGGTTCCTAATTACTGTTGACAGTTTAATTGGGTAGTTCTGCACTCACAATAAAACTATGTAGCAATGATATAGTCCAATTATATATATATATATATATGATAAAGTCCCATTGTGGCACTCTAACTTTACAACTCGCTGCCTTTTTCAACACTAGAATACTAGAAAGCGACTTATCTTTCTTTTGGGAATAGATGGCATATGAACAAACTTAGGAAATATCAGCATATAAAAGTATTTTTTGCACTCAAGCATAAAAGTTTTAGGTTGAAAAGGTGATTCTTTCCTATTGAATTCTGCAGGTACTAGCACAGGTCTCGGAATATTATTTTTACTTATTGGTACATGGTGGATGATTAAACTAGTGAAAAGAAGAAAGAAAATTAAGCTCCAGGAAAAATTCTATAAACGAAATGGGGGTTTGTTACTACAACACCAATTGTCTTCATGAGAAGGTAATGTTGAGAAAACAAAACTCTTCTCTTCAAAGGAGTTGGAAAAGGCCACTGACCACTTTAATGAGAATCGAATACTAGGGCAAGGAGGGCAAGGTACTGTCTACAAAGGCATGTTAACTGATGGTAAAATTGTAGCGGTTAAGAAGTCCAAAATAGTGGATGAAGGCAGACTTCAGCAATTCATTAATGAGGTAGTCATTTTATCACAAATTATCCATAGAAATGTTGTAAACCTACATGGGTGCTGTTTGGAGACAGAAGTACCTCTGCTTG